ATGTACTGATTGACGTGCGTGTGCATGAGCTACCAATGATATGTGTTTGGAGGTCAGAGGACAACTTGTAGGAGTTTGTTTTCTTCTTCTATTATTTGGGACCCTGGGGATTTAATTTAGAAAATCAAGCTTGAAGGAGGGTTTTTTCACCAGTGAACTGCCTTCTGGACTTAAGGTTTATATGTTAATCCACACAGGATGAGACTCAAATAACTGTAAGGTGATAGCTTACAATTGACATGGAGACATGGAGCTGCCTTTGTCATCATACACAGTAAGAACTAGTACTCTTCATTGTTTAAGCCATGCTTTGAAGAATGTGTTTAATTCTGATTCTTTGCTTAAAAACATAAAGGATCTGGAATGTATGATGATCTTAGGAGATCTTTAGTAAGTGCTGTGTGAGACTTGTCCCCAGGAAGTCCTGACACACACACACAGCATCCATTCACTACAGAATCCACGACAGACCAAAGTATTGAGTACACCCAAGTTCAATTTGGTGAGCCAATGAGTTTATTGGAGGTCGGGAGAGTGACTATGTGCAGGGGCATGGAGAACTGAAATCCATCCCAATTCTGGTGAAGATTCATGAGAGCTACAGTGCCCTCAGCTCTCTGCATGACTTGCTGGCTGCCCAGAGGTAGGAGAGTCTTTTTTCTTTTTTTCAGGTTTTAAAATTTAATTACACTTTATCCACTTTGTATGCCAGCTCTTGCCCCCTCCCTCTTCCCTTCACAATCCCACCCTTCCTCCCTCATCTCCTCCCATGCCCCTCTCCAGTCCACTGATAGGGGAGGTCCTTCTTCCTTTCCCTCTGACCCTAGCTTATTTGGTCTTATCTGGACTGGCTGCACTGTCTTCTTCTGTGGCCTGGTAAGGCTGCTCTCCCCTCAGGGGGAGGTGATAAAAAAGCCAGCCCCTGAGTTCATGTCAGAGACAGTCCCTGTTCCCCTTACCAGGAAACCCTCTTGGACACTGAGTTGCTATGGGCTACATCTGTGCAGGGGAGCTAGGTTATCTCCATGCATGGTCCTTATTTGGAATATCAGTCTCAGAAAAGACCCCTGTGCCCAGAATTTTGGTTTTGTTGCTCTCCTTGTGGGGCTCCTGTCCTCTCAATTTTCTTTTAACTCCCCCTTTTTTCGTAAGATTTCCTGCACTCTGCCCAAAGTTTGGCTATGAGTCTCAGCATCTGCTTTGATACCTTGCTGGGTAGAGTCTTTCAGAGGGCCTTTGTGCTAGGCTTCTGTCCTGTTCCCTGTTTTTTCCCTATTCTGATGTCCATCCTGTTTGCCTTTTTTGAATGAAGATTGAGCATCTTACCCAGGGTCCTCCTTCTTGCTCAGCTTCTTTAGGTGTACAGATTTTAGTATGTTTATTCTATATTATATGTCTAGTATCCACTTATAAGTGAGTATATACCATGTGTGTCTTTCTGCTCCTGGAATCCCTCACTCAGTATGATCTTCTCCAGTTCAAGTCAGTAAGCAGTGTTCATTCATGGTTCTGGTTCAGCTCCTTCCTCCATGTTCCTGCCCTGCTTATGTTCCTGCCTTGGCCTCTCTCAGTTGATGGGCTGTGAGCCAAATAAACCTTTTTCTGTCCAATTTGCTTTTGATCAGAGCAATAGAAAAGTAACTGAAACAACTGTCCAGGACTTAGTTGTAGAAATTCATTTTTTTTCATGGTGTAAAGCAGTCCTAGACAAAGATTTGGCAAACAGAGAATGAGTTGTATTTGGTCATTCTAATGGGAGATGGTCCTTCCTGTGGCCAATCCCTCTGATTTACTGCTACTTGTACATCTAGCCAAGCTGGCCAATGAATGTTCTGGTAAGAGCTGCATCTCCAGGCCAAATGTAGAGATTGCTGGCTTTTGGCTGGTGCAGGGCTCTGGGCCAGGGGCAGAACTTGCCTGGATTCACTTCGCCAGGGCTGTCTGATAAGGTGGCCACCTGTTCTATCAGGTGTACAAGGAGAAATGCCATCTTGTTGTACATACAAAACAGTTGCTGGAGACCCCTTATCTTTTGAGAGGAAATAATGTGTGAGGTGCCAGGGCACAGTGTCGCCCTTCCTCTTAAAAATGTTTATCCTTGCTGTTTGTAGAGGTAGACAGGAAGATTTGGCTCATTTTCCAGTGGGAGGACAGATGGCTGCAGTTGCTGAAGTCTGGGGGAGTTTTATAAGCCCATTTTTCTCCGTTCTTTCCACCACCCCTATAAAACAGTGGTTGAAAGATAACCAGGTAACTTTTACCTCTCAGATGCCATCCAGTTCCAAATAAAATCAAGGTCATTGTGTTCTTAAGAAGAACCTTTGCAGAGTGTGGGGAGATGGTCATGGTGAGGTGCTTACAATGGTGTGATGAATCCCCACCACGCTAAGTGTTGGCACACGCTGGTGTCCCAGGGCTGGGGAGGCAGAGGCAGGAGGAACCCTGGGACTTGCTGGGCAGCCAGCCTAGCCTAGGTGCTGAGTGCCAGGTCAGTGAGAGACCGTATCTCAAAAAACAAAGACTGTAGAACGTTCTTAAGGAGTGACAGCTGAGATTGTCTGCTGGCCTCACATGCATGCACATACATGCCTCCGTCTACATGAAGATACAAGCAGATGGGAGGGGGGCAGTGAGGAAGAGAGGGTGACTCTCACAGATGCCGACAGTCCTCTCTTTAAAGACTACTCCTGTCGTGGTCGAGGTTTCTATTCTGTGAACAGATTCCATGACCATAGCAGCTCTTATAAAGGAAAACATTTAACTGGATCTGGCTTACAATTCAGAGGGTTATCCATTGTCATGGCAGGAAGGTGGCATATAGGTAGATGTGGTGCTGGAGGGGTAGCTGAGAACTGTACATATGGATTAGCAGGAAGAAACCGTGAGCCAGTGGGCTGGGGCTGACTTACGCTTCTGAGAGTCTTTTCTCAGTAATGGCTGCTGAGAGTCTTTTGCCTCAGCAGTGGTTTTCTGTTTCCACTCCCTTGGGGAGGGACCCTAAGACTCAAGGAAATTCCAGCTTTCATAGATATGTGAAATTAGTTTACTTCCTGAGCTTCAAGAGCCCTTCTCTTCCTCATAGGAGGAGTGCTTCAATTAGGATAAAATTGTTATACAATAGAAAGAGAGAGAGGAAAAAAAACAAAGAAAAATAGGGTAATACTTATAAGATCAATTCAGATTTTCCTTTCTTTTTTGAGTCACACTTCACCATGGAAATCAAGTAGCCAATGTTATTAGTATTTGGATGAGAATGGATAAAGTATAGATAGCTTGGCTGATGAAATGGTACAATCCCAGTTTATCCTGTTGCTGATTCACAATTTGATGGCAACAAATATATGTAGGAGCTATCTCTGGCTGATTTTCTGGGAGCATAGGTATAGCTGCTTTGTTATGATTATTTTTTCAAAGATTTATTTATTTATTACTTATACAACATTCTGTCTGTGCTCCAGAAGAGAGCACCAGATCTCACTATAGATGGTTATAAGCCACCATGTGATTGCTGGGAATTGAACTCATGACCTTTGGCAGAACAGCCAGTGTTCTTTACCTCTGAGCCATCTCTCCAGCCCTGTTATGTTTTATCTTATTACTACTTATGTTTTTCTTTAAACCAGCAGCTCTCAATCTATGGGTTACGACCACAAGTATTTTCATTACGATTCATAACAGTAGTTAAGTTACAGTTATGAGGTAGCAACAAAAATAATTTTATAGTTGTATAATTTTATACAACATGATGAAGTATATTAAAGTGTCACAGCATTAGGAAGGTTTTGAATCAGTACTTTAAACTATATTTGATCAACACGAAATTCAGTGACTTAAGTGACTGTCTTGTACAGAACCAAAACCTGCTAATCTTTTAAGAAAAGGATGCAGAAGCAGCAACTTCTTGCCCTGACGATTCTGTATGTGTGGACAATGTATCTTGATCATACTGAGTCCTTCCGCCCTCTCCCCTAGGGTGCCTCTCCCACCTTCATGTCCTCTTGCCCTCTTTTATTTGTAGCTTAGCCTGGTTTACAAGCCTTGACAGAACGCTAACTGATTTTGTTCGCTTGATCTTGTGAAGATAATCATAAGTGCAGTGAGTTCATGAAGGCACCAGCCTTCCCATGTCCAGTTGACAGCATATCGCAGCACTCCTCCCATCCACATCTGACGATTTTCGCATAAGTCTCAGGGATCAATCTTGGGTGGCCAGGCTTGCATGGTACCCTGCATTATGTTTGTGGAGCTATCACCTCAGCTCCCATGTTGGGCTTTCAGTAGAATGTAGATATTCTGGAATTTCACAGTGATGGTGATTTTCTTTTTTCTTTTCTTTTTTTTCTTTATTAATTACACTTTGCCCCCCCCCCCAGGGTTCCCTCCCTCCTCCTGTCCCAATCCCTCCCTTCCTCCACCCTCTGCATGCATGCCCCTCCCCAAGTCCACTGATAGGGGAGGACTTCTTTTACTTCTTTCTGATCCTAGTCAATTAGGTCTCATCAGGACTGGCTGCACTGTCTTCTTCTGTGGCCTGGTAATGCTGCTTCCCCCTCAAGGAGAGGTAATTAAAGAGCAGGCCAATCAGTTCATGTCAGAGACAGTCCCTGTTCCTATCACAATGGAACCCACTTGGACACTGAACTGCTATGGGCTACATCTGTGCAGGGGTCTTAGGTTATCTCCATGCATAGTCCTTGGTTGGAGTGTGATGGTGATTTTCAAGAGAGATTCTTTTAGGGTACTCTTTTGAAAAATATAATTTGGGTAGTTAGGAGCTGTTGGACAAGTAGAAGTAGATACAGACTCATACAAAAATGTCCAAGTGACCCAGTATCATGTCAAATAAGTCTATACAAAATATTTTTGAAAAACATATTTAAAATAAAGAGAAAAATATTCTTCACATTTTTCCTGAGAAAGGAAGCAGTTTTTGTGAAGTTGTGTTTTCTGCATCATGCTCCTGTCCTCTCCATGTTCCCACAGGAGCTGAGGAAAGGAGCATGTGGAGGTGCAACCAGACCTCTCTGGAAGACTTCATCCTTCAAGGGCTGTTTGATGACTCCTTCAACCACCGCTGCCTTTTCCTCTTGATCATGCTGGTCTTCCTTACTGCAGTGAGTGGCAATAGCCTCACCATCCTCCTCATCTGCTCTGACCCCCATCTTCACACACCAATGTACTTCCTGCTCAGCCAGCTGTCCCTCATGGATCTGATGCATGTCTTTACAACCATCCCCAAGATGGCCAGCAACTACCTGTCTGGCAAGAAGTCCATCTCATTTGTGGGCTGTGCCACCCAGCACTTCCTGTATCTGTCTCTGGGTGGTGCAGAGTGTCTTCTCCTGGCCCTCATGTCCTATGACCGCTATGTTGCCATCTGCCACCCCTTACGCTACACTGTGCTCATGAGTAGAAGGGTGGGAGTGATGATGGCTGTCATGTCATGGTTGAGTGCATCTGTGAACTCCCTAATCCACACAGCCATCTTGATGAGCTTCCCTTTCTGTGGGTCGAGAATCATCCATCACTTCTACTGTGAATTTCCAGCTGTTTTGAAGCTGGTGTGTGGGGACATCACTGTGTATGAGAACACAGTCTACATCAGCAGTATTGTGCTTCTCCTCCTCCCCATCCTTCTTGTCTCTACATCCTATGGATTCATTCTCCACAGTGTCATTCAGATGCGCTCAGCTGGGAGTAAGAGAAATGCCTTTGCCACATGCAGCTCTCACTTCATTGTGGTTTCCCTTTGGTTTGGTGCCTGCATATTCTCCTACATGAGGCCCAGGTCCCAGCGTACCCCATTGCAAGATAAAGTGGGTTCCGTTTTCTATAGCATCATCACTCCCACTCTGAATCCCTTGATTTATACTCTCCGGAATAAGGATGTTGCTAAGGCTCTGAAGAAAGCGTGGAGGAGTGATCGTGTCACCTAGTGACTGCAGTTGAAGTTTTCCAGAATGTGCATTTGAATAGGATTTGCCTTAAACTGATTTAAGTAAATTAGTAAATTCCTGATGCTTTTTGAGTAGTGCAGAGATGACATTGACATAATGTGTAATTCTTCTTCTCTAATATGATTTCCATCTTCCAGACTGATGGAACAACTGCCCCCATCCTAGACCCTTAACCTAAACTTCTGGTTCTAAGATTGTCACAGAGTATTTTACAAAACATCCCACATTTTTCAAAATTGAACAAACCACAAGAACCAATCCCTTCTTAGGAAGAGAAAACTAGGTCACCAGGTCCACACATAGAATCCCTCTTTCTACCCCTTAGTCAATTAAACTTCCCTAGTCTCACTACTAATATGGTGTGAGCCCTTGAATTTTCCAAAATAAGTTTATAACTTCTGTTGTAAAGGTTTTTGACATCAGATTCCTTTGTTTTCTCTTTTATTTCCTAATAAAGCACCAGTGGGTATGTATTACAAAGCTCTTGAAGAACTAAGGAAAATGTACAATTAAATCCCAAACTTGAACCAAAAAAATGTATGGTCATCCTCATGTACATAGAGAGTTCCAGTCTAAAAATTAACCAGCACATACAAAACCAACCAACTAAACCCCAAGAAGACATATAAAAGCCAATGGCATTCCCCCAAAGTTATGCTAAAACTACAATGGGCTCTAGATAAGACTTCAAGTACTGTACTGAATAGGTGTAGGGAGAGTGGATATCCTTGCCTTGTTCCTAATTTAAAAAAAATGTTTTTTTTTAATTTTTATTTGCATTGATGTTTTGCCAGTATGTATGTCTGTGTGAGGATTGTTGTAGGTTATTAATATTTATTATTGATTTATCGTTTAGTTAGTGGTTATTCTTAAACTAGTTCTATATCCAAATCACCATGCAGAGATTAGGATTTATTTAATTAACCTAGAGCTTAATGCTGGGCAATAGTTATTCCATCCTAAACCTCCAAGCCTGTATACTTTTCTACCATTCAGATTTCACCCATTATACTTGCTCATAGTCATATCTTATGTCCAGTTCATCTTTCCTCCTGGTTCCAAGTCCTCTCCTGCAGATCTTCCTGTTCTCCTCTCCTTGTTATTGACAATACAGAGAACAAATGGTGGCATGTTTACACAGACCTGGGACAGGTATATTGTGCCTGAATCGCGGTACCCCAAAAGACCACCACCAGGAGCCAAGTCTGTTGCAAACCACATTAGGATCTTTTTATTACAAATTACAAGCTGCAGCTCGGGCTCACACTCCCCACCCACTGAAGCGGTGAGAGCCGAGAGCCCCGTGCTCAGGTTAGTTGGGTGATTTAAAGATTCTACTCTCTCCTAGCATGTTCAAGGCAAGGGCAACTCCTGCCTGGCAAGCATCTGTTGATCAAAATGCTATATTTTGAATAGATTGGCTATTAATGATCTGGTATCCCTCCTTAGGGGGATGGGCCAGTTTTCTAGCAACTGTATCTCTAATGGGTGGGGAAAGAATGCAGTATGGCAGGTTCTTTCCCTCAGGACATTACTGGACCTCACCCAGCTAGTTCAGGGCTTAAACTTTAATAACTGCTAATTTTTAATCTTTTTGGTCTCTCATTCCCCCCTTCCCATGATCATTTGAAGACCCAATCTTGGGTCTTCCAGATACGACTCCTTGTATCCTATAGATTTACATTTTTACAATGGGATCTGAGCACCATTAGTGTATTGCTCCAAAACATTTTTTTTTCATGAGATCCATCAAGCAATTTAAAATACAAGGCCCAAAGATAAAAATCAAAATGAGTAGGGGTCCCTTCAGGATGGATATAGAGGTAGTAAGCCAAGTAGAACTATTATCCTTTGTCTCTCTAGGCTTTTAGCCCAGTTGATGCAATATTAGTTTCCATTTCAGCTCAGCAGATGCCCAAGATAATAGCTAATGTCAGGGAGCCAGCCCCTTTTTGACTTAGCATTTCAGCCTGCTAGATGGGATTTGGGCGAAGATCCATCTTCTGGAGCTTCTTCAGTGCTGACACATTGGACCGTTGGCATCAGGGGCTGAAATGCTAGTTCAAGTCTGGGCAATGGGGCAGTCCCAAGCATCTGGTTAGTTGATCCAATTGAAGAAATGGGGAGAGATCTCCTCAGGTTTCAGCAAGTCCAAATTCCAGCTCACAGTCCATAACGGATCCAGAAATAGAGTCAAACAAGTGAAAATCTGCTGAAACAAATTCAGACTAGAGACAGAAGTTAACATTTGTCTATTGAATGGGAAAAGTGAGGAATCCTAAGACCAGGGAAAAACTCCTCTGGGATCTGTTTGAGCTACGCCAGATCCAGGTCACATAACTTTTTGATTTCCTGAAACATGAATTTTTGATACACAAAAGGAACTATATATTAAAAAAACTCAGTTAGCTGTTTGTTTTATAACCTTTATAAACAACTTAAGTGTGTCCACAGTAACATTTCTTCTGTGGGCATAGCTGTTGGTAATCAGCCACGAATGGAGCTCAGCCATTTTTCATACATTCAGCATCTACTCTTAACCCCCATGTCCATGTTCACACTGGAAAGTTAGGTGAAAATGCATTACTGGCTTTAGTGCTAAACTCTGGATGCTTGGATTTTTCTTTATAAAGTAACTAGAAGGAATAGGTTTAAGATATTCCTAAATCCTGTCTACCTCAGAAATGGCAGATATTAAGAATACTATAGTAAAGGCTATGGCTTTGGGTCAGATATGCACATTAAACAAATGTTTTCAACATGATGAGAAGCACCTTTAAGTCTATCTCCAGAAGACAACCAAAGGAAATTAAAATCTCAAGTTGGTGACTGAATAATAAGCAGTCAGTGCTCCATCAACTTATCAGAACTCTATTGATCAATGCCAAAACTCTGAACTTCTGAAATCTTATAACATAAGCACAACACTAGCAAGGAGGGGGGAGAAATCCAAAGTATCTCCCATTTTTAATATGCTTTAAAATATTTTTTGTATCTTTATAACTCATAATTATATACCTTAAAACACCTACTTAGACTCTCTAATCTTTCTTGCATTTATCAACCCTGAAACATTTTCCAAACCAAATAACACTCTCTGGATTTTTACGATCTAAACTTCTATATCCTCAGACCCTACATAAGCTCCATATTTTTATCCAGCTATATATCTTAAGACACAGGCAACTGACATGAATCCTGTGAGCAAGGCAAACCTGTTTTTCTTTCTAAATAAGAGATCTAGTACTTAGTAGTTCTAGCTACTGAACTGATCAATGAGCTAACAGTGGATCTAATTGTCTTCTCTCTAGCTGCAAAGCTACCATTAGCTTAGCATAGCCATCAAAGTGATCAGAGACCTGAGAAGGATAAATTATAAGCTAAATAAATATACCAATCTATGTTCCAATCAAAATGACAGAGATGACTAGTTAGTCCATTACCTAGGCAGTGTCCCTGGCTCCTGTGGTCTCACGGCATCCTGAACAGAGGCAGTTCTGCCAGGCACATAAGATGAGAGACTGTTTCTGTGGAGAAAGAAATGAGAGAATGGCCTCACCTTGCCCTTAGCAACATGAAACATTGACTCTCCAGGTGTCCACAGTTTTGTCCACAGTTTAGGCTGGGTCCTAGCAGTGGACCAGTTGAGGCAGTATTGCCCAGTGGTTAGCATACCACAATCCAGAGTCACAATCATCTGTTGTTGTGCCCAAATCTTCTCGGAGACCTTGGGGAGCTACTGCCAGGATTTCGGGACTTTCTGTCACAATAAGCTTACACATGTTAAGATGTCATATTCATCAGATCTCTGACAAGCTTGAGGGCCAGCACATCTGAATTACTCTTTGTCTATTTTTATCATCTGCTCTAGACTGTGTCCTATAAAACAGAATGCTATACTCTAATTCTGACATTTTTCTAAGATGCATGTTTTAGAACTATATTTTAAGACAAATAGGCAAACTTCATAGTTACCCATCCTAGGCTTAACCTTAAAAAAACTAAAGAAAGAGATTAGGTAAGGCCCAACTGTAGTATTTAACATGACTTTAAATCTGCTCTTTCTGAACTAAAATCAAAGCAAACCTTTTAATCAGGTACAGTTCATAGAGAGCCTAGCAAATCTTGCTGCTCCTACCGCTTGCATTAAAATTGAACAGTAAAAAGCTTTGCACTTAGCACTAATCAGAGGACTGAACATAACTCAGAGACCTAAACAAGGATGATGGCAAACTCATGGCTCCACCCTCTTTATCTCTGGACCAGCATGGTGGCTGGCCACATGTAACTGAACTCAGCTGGAAGCCCTAAACAAATATGGCAGCAAAACTACAGCTCCACGCTCTCTATCTCTGAACCATCATGGTGGCTAGCCATGTGTTAGCACAGGCTGTGACTGACAATACCAAACATAGCCATTTGGTGCTGCTGCTGATGTTGTTACCTCCCATAACCAAAAGTCCTAACATTGTGGTAAAATAAATTTTAGAACCAACTGCATAACAAAGCAGTACAGAACATTTTTAAACTGTATGAATTATTCTAGCCATACCAAACCTATCAGCCAGAGTTTTTTTTTCCTTAAAAGAGCGTAAAAGACATTTTGCAATGAGGAATCATCAGCCTTTTAAATGAAGTACAACATATTTTTAAATACAGTTCTTTCTGAAATCATATTTACCCTCTGGTTATTTATACATGCATTCACTAACCTTCTGCAACATTCTGTATACCTTCAGGTTCCTAGCTGCCTTCTTTTGGCTTAACCAGGCATTCTTACTTTAGACAAGCTATTTTTTTTTAAAATACCTCTTGCTCTCTCCCTTGCTTTTCATAAAACATAAAAACTCTCACCAAAATTCTTTACATCCTGACATGATCCTGATGGAGCCCAGTGTCTACGATTTGCTTTTTATAGGCAAAGCAAAAACAAGTTACATTAACACAAAAAGTTCTGAAACTGCCAAATTCTTCTTCTA